TTTTCTGCAGTTGAGCATTGCAAACGAAACACTGGAGGCGAAGTCCACAATGTGAAACTGCTTTACTTCCAGCTGACGCACTGGAATTGTCCAGTCATGTATGTTCACCCAACCAACACGTCTGTATGTCTACCTGTGAAAATAGCTTTCCTAACAAGAAGAGTCGTCTTGCTTTGGAGTATTCCGACAGGCTTGAAAGAAGAAAGCATAAAAGCAAATGTCACCAGTGAGGGGGTATCATTTGTGGCTGTAGCTGTTTGTGCACAAGCAACTTTTATGATTACACAGTTATTCAAGAAATATGCAGGATTTAGCAGAGGAAAAAACTCTGAGCAGTGATGTTCTGAAAGATCTTTCCAAATGGTGAGTAGATGAGAAGAGAGTTCACTTTTTTGTTTGCGAATCCTGGGCCATTTCAAACAAATAGTAAGGGTTTTCCTTGGTATAGCAATGGAAAGGAGTTTTTAGCTTCCCACTTTTCATGCCAGGTTTCCAAAGGAGAATGTATAAAGTGAGATTGGCTTTTACAATCCTGTTTATTTCTTCTGCTGCTATTTACTTCTAGAGATTTTGCTTTTACTTGGCATGCTTATTTGAGACTGGAAAACAAAATGAATGTCCTAGAGAAACAGAAGTAAGCAATAGTTTGCATGAACAACTATCCTATATAGAGCGTTTGTCTTGGAAATTAGACTGAAATTAATTTGTAGGATTGATAAAGAGAAATAATGGCAAATTCATGCTCTGATTGAGTATTGGCAAGGTGGTTTGAAAACATTCTTTGATTTTTATCATTCTCCACAGAATGGTTGCACTATTTCCAGGTTAGGAAACAGCCTGCGTGGAGCAGTGCTGGGGCTTGAGGATGTGGATCATGGTAAGTTTACCATGGAGACATGGATAGAGCCACTTGCTGAAAGAGTTTTTCCAATTTAAGGAGCACCGTAGGCTGTTCAGTTTCTTGTACAATCTCTTGGAAGCACTGAAGATGCTGCACAGAGCATTATACCACTGATGCACTGCTTTAAGCAAAGTGGTAGAAGACAGAATGCCTGGGGAAGAGACATCCTTTGATGTAAATGTCCTGGATTTTTGCATGCAACTTCAAGTTTTTGGCAGGCAGCTGGAACTGGAATGCTTCCAAAACACAGCATTGGCATTTCTGTGCAAAAATAAGCTTTTGCCCTTGTTTCCAAACATAACCATGAAACTCAGGATTCTGTTAACTTTGTCTGTACCTGTTGCAATTGGGGAATTTTTGAAACTTAAACTTACAAAGATGAGCTTGTGTTCTTCCAAGACTCAATTTCAGTTGGGTCTTGCTATAGTTTCAACTGAAAGCCAAATTGCGGAGAGCATTGTTCCAAATGATGCCATTAACAATTCACAAAGTGAGAAAAGTGTAAGTCATAGAATCATAGGACATTAGGGCTGGATGGGACCTCAGGAGGCCATTTAGTCCAGTTCCCTGCTCAAACCAGTACCATCCCCAACTAGATCATTCCAGCCAAAGCTTTGTCTGTCTAGGTCTTAAAAACCTCCAAAGATGGAGGTTCCACCACCTCTCTGGGTAGCCTGTTCCAATGTTTTGCTACCCTCCTGGTGGAGTTTTTCCTCATATTTAACCTAAACTTCCTTTGCTGCAGTTTGAGACGGTGAAAGCCTCCGTACTTTTGGGGTTGCCTGTTCCCAGCCTCTTCTTTCACTCATGTGTCTATCAACCCAGTTGCCTAGGGGATCCCCATGGGAGTGGGGAATCTTTCTCCCTCTGTGGCCAGGTCTATTGTTAAAACTCCTGCCTTTAGCCTAGGAGGGCAGGCGTTGGCTGGGGTCTAGGTCAAGGTGTGATGCTTTTCAAATTGGTTGGTTGGCCTCAAGCAACCCTGCCCCTGATTGGGTCTGGAGGGAGAGGGCAGGGGAGCCACTTGAGAGGCTCTCCAGGAAGAGGCAAAACCATGTTGGGATGTTTGCACAACAACTGGGACCTCTGCAACCCTCACTCTCTTCTGGGACGCTGACGTGAGTAAATGACCAGAAACTTAACTAGAAAGGTAGCTTACAATGATTTAGAAGCATACTAAATGGCTATCAGGCTGGTTTTCTTTGCTCTGGGTATTCTGTTGATACTTCTCTGATTCATACCCCTCCCCAAACCTACCCTCTGTACCCAATAAAGCTATCTGCTATACAGGGGCAGGCAATTATTTTGAGCGGAGGGCCGCTTTACTGAGTTTTGGCAAGCCATCAAGGGCTGCATGACAGGCAGCCAGGGGCAGATCAATATTAATTTTCTAAATTTTTCAGGAGCCCCATGGGCTTTGCTTAAACCATGGATAGACTGGACTGGCAGGCAGTATCCAGCCCGCGGGCCGCATTTTGCCCACCCCTGTGCTATAACATGCTTTGTGGTACATGTTTGAGAGGGGATGGGCATGCCTTTGTATTCCCTTGGCTTGGATGACTAAGGGAGGGTACTTTCTGTGCTTCAGGTTAAAGAAGCACTCCAAGATCTTGCAGGGGGTCAAGTGACCTCAAGGTCTATACGGCCTGTGCACCTTGCGGGGCACAGGGCCAGGCAACGACCAGACCCTGGCTGGCAGTGGTGGCGGTTATCCCAGGCTTGTGGGTGTGCCCCAGGAAGGGGGTTGGCCAGTCATAGGCGCCCCAGGAGAGACATTCGGAGCTAGGTAGATGGTCGGGCGCAGTAAGGTGGGTGGCTTGGTGCAGAAGTGCCCCCTACTGGCCTGCCACAGAGACTGGTGCTCCTTATTCAGTCATCTGCCACCATTGAGAAAAGTCTAGCTCCAATCTCTCTGGACCTCTCCTTCAGGTAGGTGAGGGCTGCTGTTAAATCCCCCCTCCGTCTTCTCTTCTCCAGACTAAATAAACCCAGTCCCTCAGCCTTTCCTCATACATCATGTCCCCCAGGCCCCGAACAATTTTTGTTGCCCTTCGCTGGACACTTTCTAATTTGTCTACATCCTTTCGGGGGGAGGGGGGGGGGTCTTACTAATGCAGCCCACAATTAGCCTTAGAATTAGAAGAATTAACCTTCTTCTCAACAAGGGCACACTGTTGCCTCATATCCAGCTTGTCTGCTGTAACCCCCAGGTCCTTTTCAGCAGAGCTGCTGCTTAGCCAGTCAGTCCCCAGCCTGCACAGGTGCATGGGGTTGTTCTGTTCCAAGTGCAGGACTTTGCACTTGTCTTTATTGAACCTCAGGAGACTTCTTTTAGTCCAATCCTCCTATTTGTCGAGGTTGCACTCCATCCCATCTTCCAGGTCACTGGTGGTATTGAACAAAACCAGTCCCAGGATCAACCTCTGAGGCACTCCGCTTGATATCAGCTGCCAAATAGACATCAAGCCATTGCTTACTATCCTCTGAGCCCAATGATTTAGTCAGTTTTCTATCCACCTTACAGCCCATTCACCCAACCCGTACTTTCTTAGCTTTCCTATATTTGCTCTATATAGAGCACTATATTTGCTCTTTTTTAATCATCCGAGACTTCTCCAAATTGCCATGAGTTTTTCAAAGATGATGGCCAGCAGCTCTGCAATCACATCAGCCAACTCCCTCAGCACCCTCAGGTGCATTGCATCCAGCCCCAGGGACTTGTACACATCCAGCTTTTCTAAATAATGCCTAACTTGTTCTGTCACCACTTCTGGCTGCTCACCTCCTCCCCAAACTGTGTTGCCAGGTGCAGTAGTGTAGGAGCTGATCTTGCTTGTGAAGACTGAGGAAAAAGAGGCGGTGAATACTTCAACCTTTTCCACATCATCTATCACTAAGTTGCCTCCCCCATTTAGTAAAGGACCCACACTTTCCCTGATCCTCCTCTTGTTGCTGACATACTTGGAGAAACCCTTCTTGTTACCCTTTACATCCCTTGCTAGCTGTAACTTCAGTTGTGGTCTGACCTTCCTGATTTCATCCCTGAATTCCTAAGCAATACTCTTATACTCCTCCTTAGTTGTTTGTCCAAGTTTCCACTTCTTGTAAGCTTCCTTTTTATGGCTTAGCTCACTGAAGAGTTCCTTGCTAAGCCAAGCTGAGATGTTAAAAAGTGCAGGCCCGAGGACCAAGCCCTGGGGTACCCCACTGCTCACATCTCACCAGGTTGAGTACAACCCGTCCACCACTACTCTCTGGGTGCACTCCATCAGCCAGTTTTTTACCCATCCAACTGTGTAGGCATCGATGCTGCAGTCACTTAATTTATTGATGAAGATGGGATGAGAGACAGTGTCAAAGGCCTTCTTAAAGTCTAGAAAGACTATGTCAATGTAGTTATGCTTGGTTTACCCAGCTTGGCTGAGACAAGCATTGGCCCTTGGACTGGGCTTGAAAAAATCAGAATTGGAGCCAGCCGGGAAAGCAAGCTGAACCAACAAGCCAGGGATTCCTGCTCCGGCACACCCCCACCCTTGAGCCAGCAGTAAAGCTCCCCTTTTGCATACAGAAAGTTGCCTCCAGAAAAGTAGACTTGAAGGAAGAGGGCTGGTTTCAGTTATCTGCTTTTTTGGGGGTGGCATCGGGGACCACTGCTGCCAATGGGGCATGCCCACGTAGGGTCAAACATCCCAAAGTTTAAGGCTCACTTTAGCTCTTATCTGATGGCAAGGGGGTAAAAGGTGTGTGTGTCTCCTCTTTAGCTGAGAAACACCGTCATGGACGGAGCAACTGATGCATTATGACAAGGAAGAGAGTGATGTACCGGTTTTATTTGTAAAGTGATTAGACCGCCCTAAAGCAAAAGCAAAAGGAAAAAAAAAAGGGTTTCTGAGACCAGTAGAGCAGCATTGCCACCTTGTGGACAAGTTGGGTCATGACAACTGAGTGCTCACCCTAGCCTTTTAAACTAGTTTTAATTTCTAGTTTCTGACCTGAAGACTCTCACTGTGGAAGCTTCCTTTCCTTAGCTCAACTTACCTGTTTTTTTTTGCTTTTTTTTTCATCCCCAGTTACACTAACCCAAATGACAACAGTGCAGATAACGTAATAAAAAAGTTTATTCTCTAGGAAGTACATAGATTATCTCCCACAATATAAAAGTGCCAGTGCTGCAAAATGCTTATACAGTATGAAAAACAATAGTGCAAGAGTTGAAATCCATCCAGCAGGTGTGAGCCCAGCTGAGAATCACAGTCCCATGGTAGAGTAGCATTCAAGTGACGTCTAACGCCTACTATTTTCAAAGGGCGGGGGCGTTAATTTAGGGTGATTAGTTTAAAGTACTTCTGGTGATTGGGGGGCTGATTTTCAGAGGCTCTCCTTGCTTCTGTTAGACATGCTTAAAAACCTCTGAAAACTTCAACCCATGCTGCTGTGGGACCTAACTAAATGCTCGCCGAAGTTCATTGACCCTAGAGCGCCATGACTAGGGCAGCCGTCATAGAGGACAGTCCAGTTTTCTGCTACTCTGTTCTCTATTGATACAAGACCGGCTGCCTTTATGTCCTCTATTGTACTCTTGAAGAGAAAAATAGAGGACATAAAGGCGTTGGTTTTGTATCGATAGAGGACTGTCCTCTATGATGGGCACCCTGGCTGTGACTGAGGCCTTTAGCAAGCAGAAGGTGGAAAGGAAGCCTATTTGAGAATCACGGCTTGATTCAGGCAGGTGCAGTGTGTTTCACGAGTGTCTGCATTTGTGGGAACAGACCTTCTTGTGAGGGACACCTTACCAGCACTGGGGCACTATAGAGAACCGGGCTTTTCTCCAGACTTAGGAGAAGAGTTGCTGGTAATACGCTTAATGAACCCAGGGCGCCCATCGGGAAGCACTTGTGTCTGTAACACGAGAGCAGGAAAGGGGGCAGGGGGTGCGACTCGGTGAAAATAAGATGAGGAGCACTCTCAATTCACATGCTTCCTGCAAGAAGCTGTTTTCCAGCTGGGGTCAGGGAGCACCACATACTGCCTTAGTACTGCCAAAGTAGTACACAAGCTCCAGCTATTTAATTGATGTAGCTACAATGCATCAGCGAAGGATGTGGCCCTGAGCCTTCTCACAGAGCTGTGGGGCGTCTTTCTCTTGACTGAAGTCAGCATATGCAGTGAATCAGGCCCTCAGTGGATATGGGGATATTTGCTCCTCCATCTGAAGTATCCAGCCTCAGACGCAGCGGGGAGCAGTGGACGAGAGTACCGTGCCTGTGCTCCTGCACCAGCACAATGCCAGGAGAAAAACCATGCTGAGGGAGGAACTATGAAGCCCCACAAAATGCTTCCTCACACTATAGTGGCAATTGCTATAATGGCATAATAGTTATAGTGCTGACTTCGAAAATGCAGGGGACTCTATCAGGCTATGTTTTCTGCTGTGCAAATCTACATCGAAGGTGATGGAGCTGTGCTAACTTGCTGTTGATCTGATCCATTTTCCCCAAGAAGCTGAGAGACGGTCACAATATTTAACAGACGGTGAGCACTGCTTGTGATATTTAGCTCCCAGACACCTCCTGTTAGCACACAGAAGTCTTGTCCTCCTCCCTCCTGCATTTCCCAATGAAAATGTGTCTTTTAGGGCAAGGAGAGCTGTGTTACAGCAAAGCTATGTCTACCACGCCTATGCTGGAGAATGGGATATGTTGAAACCATTAGGATTTAATTGAGACAAACAACTAAAGCCCAAGCAAAGTGGTTCCTTTCCAACTCTGGACACATTACTGTGCCTTGTGCTCAGCACATTCAATCTATTATTCTCCTTGGAGATGACTGGTCCTGTGAGCCAGGGAGCCATAAATCAGCATCGGCCTACGCTTGGCTGAGGGGAGGGGAACTGGGCATTTTCTGTGCTGTAATTGTGTCTGTAGGGGAGAAGACTGAGGGGGAGGGAAGGGAGCTTCACAAAAGAGAAGGGGCAGAGATCACATCAGCAAAGCCCCAGTGAGGTTGGGTGTGGATTTTGTTCACCCAAACCAAGATACAGTGGTGCTTGGGCCAAAGATGCGGTAACCACATGTCTAATTCACTTGCAGGGTACAAATGAAGGCAAAGAAAAGGTTAAGCAGGAGTGTTTGCAAACTGGCAGCACTGAACACTTTAACGGACCCAGCACAAGGAGGCCTAGGAGTGCATCTACAGCCTGGCTTGGCCTCTCTCTGTTTCTGCATTGCTCAGCCATTGCCTTCCTACAGAGGGCATGAACGTACGGAAACCAAAAAAAGTCTCACTCTAAAAAAAAGTCCGAACAAACCCATTCAGCTTCCTGAGGCCTTTCCACCGGCAGGATTGCCAAACATTTTGTCTCTTCTTAAAACATCTTTCTTGCTTGATGCTGCACTTGCTTTTTCTACACTCTTGTATTCTGTAGAGATGCCCATACCTTTAATGCATGATGTTTCTCTTATAAGCAGAAACCCATTGCTTACCCTAGCCTCATAGACACAAGAAGATGCATAGTGCCATGAGAAGATGCCATTTCAGCCCTACTGGTCCAACCTCATCTTCTTCCTGGGGTCTGGCTTCAGGAACAGACAACACCCCGCTAAGTCCAGCTTCTTCCCCCTACCAGGGCCTGTTTCCATCTTCCATATGGTTGGGTAGGGTAACAAGGCAGTCAGCTGCCTCCGTGAGTCACAGACCCCACTGGCCATTCCCCAGCTTGCATTAACACCTGCTAATAGGCAAATGCTGCCCAGGCTGTTGTTACACTGACATCTCATTTCCAAACACTAATTAATGCAGAACCACAGATAATCCTATTGATCATAAAATGCCCAACTCCTTCATACATGCCAGGCAATGGTGTTGTGCTGGAATCATGCCCAAGGCAATGCTCCCTCTTCATTGTCTGAATTTACCAGTTATTAGTATCAGTAAGTCAACACTTGTGTCTGTTCCTGTGGGACAGCCTTGCAAGAAGGGAATGAGACCACAGAACCACCCCAGCTTCGATGACCTTAGTTGAGCCCTCCCTACCACTCCTTCTTGTCAGGCCAGCATAGCTGCACACCACAGGGTAGAGACCTAGATTTCTGGGATTGTAATTTTTGCAGTTTCTAGCACCTTTACAAGACAGTTGGGCTGCTTTGTGCCTTTGTGTATTCTTAGGCAAGCACACAGGAGCTGTTGCAGCCCATGTTTCTTTTAGTTTGCAAAAGGCAAAGGGCTTCTGCCAACACATGGATACATGACGCTACCTGGGGGCCATACCCCACTTCAGAGTGGCTCACCTCTGAGGGGACAGTTCTGCTGACTAGCATACGATTCAGTCCACAGGAGCAGCTTTTATTATCTGCTCCATTTTAAACATCTGTTTTCTGGGCCCTCCTCGAGCTCATGCAGTGGAGGCTTTGCTGGTTTGGCAAGGCTCCACCCTGAGCATCCCTCCCTGCCAGCTGGTGAGATTTCAGAAAGATGTCTTGTTTTAAAATCTGGGACCTTGCATAATTATTGTGCACCTGAAGAGCGCAAGTCTCTTGCTGGCTTGTATTGCTGCAGATCTGGAGTAACTTCACTGCAGACACCGGAGTTAAGAGGGTGTCAAAATAGCGGGCAAAGAGACTCAGGCCTGGTAATTGCCAGCAGCTACTCAAGCAGAGCCCAGAGGCTTTGTGATGTTTGTACCTGGCCCTTAAAAGCATTCTTGCTTGTCCAGGGCCTGAGCTGTCTGGGAAAGCTGAACCTTTACACTCCTGCAGATGCATACTTCCCTCACCCAAAAGAATATCCAGAAACTCATCAACTTGCAGAGTACAATTATGCAAATTATGCAAACTGCATGCATATACTGGCATAATGTGAAACTGGTTTGTCACAAGCCTTTTCAGGGCTATCGCTGGATGTGAAGATTTGACACGTGAAACCAAGCCAATGGCAGTCAACTAGCACAGCGGCACATTCATTTGTGTGTTCCCTCCCCGCCTCAGGACACCACTCATCTCATTTTCACACAGGGCCAGTGGGGTGTTTCAAGCTGCAGAACAAATCTTCACAATATTTTGCAGAAATATTCATGTAATTCTGCCCTAAAGCATTTCACCCACTAGAAAAAAATTCACAAGATGCCTGGCGTCACTTCCGCATGAGTGAAAATTCAGCTTTTCCCAGGATTCAGCCGTTGTCTCAACACAAAGCTGAAAGCTGAAACCCAAGAGCAGAATTTGCAATACTAACAATGAACAGGCGAACGGTGAAGGGCCTGGAGCTCATTATGAATTGATTTCACACCTAGAATCTTCTACCTCGCTCAACGGCACAGGTGCTTTCTGTTCAAGCGAAACCTAACTAGTAGGCTACCTGCAAAGGCTGGAAGGAAGCTTCTATTTTGGCCAACTCTGTGGGAGAACTTAGTCCTATGATACAGCTGGTTAAAGGCTATTAGTCCCTCACACAAAATTGGGTGTGATATAAAAACAAACAACTATCCTACTACAGCTCTACCTTCCATACCCACCCCAGGAGGGCTGTGTCCTTCTGCAGTGAATCCTTGGTACCATGCTCAGCAGTACAAGCGGCATGAAGGGAATTGTTAACAACAAGGAGAGCCCTTTGGTAAAGTGTCTTACATATCAAACTGCTATTCAGAGAGGCTCTTGTGACTAGAGGCTCTTCTTACTGAGTTTCTACCAGGTCAAAGACATCGCTGGATTTGTAGGTGCCTTTCTCGTGGTCAGAGACCTCAGCTTGCTGGCTGGCTCAGGAAGAAAGAATATGAGGGCAAGTCCAGTAGTCTTTACCCAGGCAAAACTCACACTAGTAACACTGCTCAGCCACTTAGTCCTACTGCCATTTGAACACTGGGATTCCTCTTCTGCAGGGTTTCCTAGGCCTATGCAAAATAAGTGCTCTGATTCCTCGAGCAGTGACATTTCACTGGAGACAGTCAGATAATAAGAGTACCATTAATAAGAGCAATTGTAGCATTATATAAAAGGAAGCCAGTTGAAATTAGCTTCTTTCCTATCTGGCTCCACTCTCATTGCCATAAAAAAATATAACATAAGAAACACATTGCACTGAAGCCCTCCAAGAGTAGTCAGATATGCTGTAATATGATGTGCCATGATATAGTGCGATGCACCAAATATCTGGGAAGGACAGATAGTGTGGTGGTTTGTAATGAGCTTGGTCACTGAATTAGTGTTGCCCCCTACTACTATAGTTGCTGCATGATATATTTTCTTTCTGTATAAAAGCCTCTCCCGCTTATAGCTGTGCTGAGATGGGGAACAAAGGGGCTTTTCTTTTAAAATGATTTATGGTTTTGTGCAATCTTTGCTCCCAAGTCACTCACACTGAAAGCACAGACAAGGCCCCCAGCCGCGAGGTGACAGCTTTGTCTGGGTCCACAGGGCTTTGGTATTCATAGCTCCATAAAGTCATCGCTGGAAACAACCTTGACGGTGATGTGACCCGGCATTTCGTCTGCTTCGCCGCCGCCTTTCCCTTGGAGCCGCAGAGTCTGCTGTTCTCTGGGGTCACTGGGCGATGCTGCCAGCAGCACTTGTCCAAGGAACTGGTCACACAAGATGTTGCTGTTCCAGACCTACAGACACAATTGTGAGGGAGAAGAAATAACTGGAGCCAAGACGCTGCTTTCCTTTCAACTACTGCTTAAGAGAGCCCTGGCAGATGAGGGGCACCCGTATCAACCCTTTGGAACAGAAGGAAGGAAGGGTGTGTACTAAATGTGGCTAATTTCCTAGGGCCTGAAGCCTGCTCTATACTACCTATATGCCATGCAAATAAATATCAATCTATGCATCTATGAATCTATGAAAATACAGGAATACACAAACTCATAATAATGCTCACTAGGTCACGTCCTACCTAGAAAATGAATGAAAATGGGACAACTGGGTCCAGCAACAATAACAACCTGCACCTAATAAGATGCCGACTCCACCTCACAACCCATCCTTGCCCCCGGATGGCTGCTTTATGCTTAACTAGTTATAGCCCCAGAGGAACTGCTCTTGCAGCTGGTTTTGTCCATGCCTCTTTTGACCCACATATGTCTCCTTGGCAGCTCTACCTCACCACGTGGGAGAATCCACCATTGCCAAGTACAAGCAGCTTTGAGGCTGGTTTGTGTTGCTAGAGAAGCATAGTTCTCCTGGGGGTGGATCTGGATGGGAATGCAAAGCCCCTGATTACTGAAGTAGTTGCCTGATTTGCTCTAATTGTTCTTGGTTGAGCTGGGAAAGTGAAAGGGGTTGAGTGGAGTGTTGTAGAAAGATAGGAGGGGTATTGCCTTGGTACCCACTGGTAATCAGAGTAAAACCTGCTTGTGATGATGCACAAACCTGCCTTTCTTGTCAGCTGTTTTTTCAGGTTACATTCACCCATGACTATATTCTGAGCTTTATGATGATAGCTCTTCTCTCATCCTTTTTTGCCCATGGGGGACCAAGGAGATACCTTTCAGCTTAGGAATGCCAGGTGTCAAAGTACAGTCCTTGTAGCGCTGTAAAACTAACTTCCCTCTCTGGCATTCAGTGCTAAGAAGACTGGATTGATTTAGGGGTCATCCTACCAATTAAGGAAAAAGCATCTCACATCCCCTAGCATTCTGCGTGCCAGGGACTAACCCTGTGAGTGGAGTCTGGGGTTCCTGTCTTGGTTCTTCCATTAATTCAGTGAGAGGCTTGGGACAAATCAATTAACTTTTCTTTCTCCCCTATAAAATGGGGGTAAAGATACTCTAGCACCCTTGTAAAATATTTTGAGGTCCACAAATGAAGATTGCCATGTAAGTCTTGGGTATCAATAATAGTTACTACATGGAGAGGAAGCACCATATTTATTTGGATACCACACATACCCTTTCCCATGAAAATCAGAAGTTGTATGTTGGGGTGTGGGTCTCAAAAGAAGAAAGAGATTTCTGAATGGTATTGATTAAAAGCATATTTGATGTATGGCTAGGTAACCTTCTTCATGTAGGTCTACCATAATATCCAGTTGTCTTATCCTATATCCCTAATCTTGCTGAGTCAGTCTTATAGCATATGTGAATACATGCAACCATGATAGAAACAAAGCAGTGTTATGCAATTTATTACTTGTTCTACTAAGTTACTTATTTTCAAGTCTTTTTTTCTGTATTCTGCCTTCCCAAAACAAAGTGTTTGTCTTATTCAGGAGCATGCAGTATACAAATAAATATGGTCTCTATACAAAGGTCAATATAAACAGCTGAATTGCTCCAGCCATTGCTGTCATGGAGAAGCAGTGATTCTCGCAGCCTGGGTATCAATCTAGTGAAGAAACAGTTAATGCTTGTCAGACCCTCATCCCATCAAAGTCAAATTTATTTAAAACCACGTGCTACTTTATGTCACTAAGATACACACAGATACCATGGAAGGAAGTGAGCTTTCCCCCCTGACATAATGTTCCTCTTTTTGCCGGCACTGCAGCACACCCAGACTCTCCTCCTTACCTGGACAGTAATGGGACGGTCAATGTTCTTTCTGTAGAAAACTGCTTGCGTGTCAAAAATGGCATTGACAGTGTCTTGCTGGACAGCAGAGCGAACTTTCTGATTCTCACATTTAATGGTCAGGTAAGGGTCTGCTCCTGAAACAGTGAGAAAAATCTGTATTGGGACTTGGAGTGTCTACTTTCACTTGGAATAGCTGAGAAACCGTCGTAGACTCAGAGAGACAGAGGAGTGAGTCAGAGGGAACAAGGGTCTCCTGCCTGCAGAAGCAACCAGGCTTGGGACTTGCCTGGATGATTCAGGTAGATGATGAGAAGTCAGAAGGCAAGAGAGCCCAGGCTTTGGGAAAACCCTGTCCTGTCACTGGCCCACAGCAAGAGGAGGTCACTTACCACCCTGTGCTTCACCCCTGGAGACTAAATCCTTCCATCTTCAGAGCTTTTGGCTGCTTCCCCCAAAAGATGTTTGGAAAATGACACTACAGATGGCTCCTACTCAAGTCATCTATGCAAGCAGCACCTCTCCAAGTTTCATAATGCTTGTATCGTATCGTTATATAAAAACTTTTTCCACGCGCGGAGGTGAACAAGTTCAGCCATGGCTGCCTTGAGAGTCGAGGTGGTGGGAGGAGAAGGCGCAATACTTTTCCTCTACACATCATCACCGAGTGCAGCCTCAGTCTGAATAATGGAAATCTAGTATCTAAATGCCCACAGAGCAGGCTCAAAGGCTTGCACTGCAGTAGCATCATCGTCCCAAACTTGTATTACAGCATTTGCATTGCTACTCCCATGCTTGTAACACACTGAGCCACATCGGCTGGATGGAAGGGTGGGCAGGGAAATGCTGAACAGGGGAAGGAGAAAACAGAATCTAAAGCTTTCCAAAGCATGATAAAAGTTTGGTCCAAAGTCCTGAGAGAAGGTCTTGTGAGTTGGCAATCAGTGAATTGCTCGTTCCTCAATAATCAAGAGCTCACTTGAAGGAGTCACACGAGTTTTGGGAGTAGTAAAAAGTCCCAACTTGCTCATGCTTTCTCTCTTGTCTAGGTGCAAGGCCAGCCTGCATGGGTTCAGATCAGCAGCTGGTTAATGGAAGCCAAGAGCCATTTTTGACCTACTGAGAATCCTAGCTATGCCATTCTAGCTGTCACCATGACAGCCTCCCCTACCTCAGTGGGGGCCAACCTGTATGGCAGACATGACACAAATTAGTCTTGCACTCTCCCCGATTGCCACTCCAGTCCCCGTCCTCTGCCCAATCTGCTGCTCTGCTTTCTCCTTCCTGCCCCATCTCCTACTGTGCTGCCTGTCTCCTCCCCAATCCGCTGCGTTCCACACGTGCAGGACGCTCATGCCACTTGCAGCACGCGTGCTGCCACACATTGGCCACCTTTGCCCTACCATACTTATACAACTGACAAATGATCTTTTTGTCAGCCTGCCACAGAGATCAAGCTGTATGAAAAGATAGGACTGCGGCCAAAACCGAAAAGCAGACAAAAAGGATCCCAGGTGGAAAAGCAGAGTCTTAATGGGGCATTTCACAGCCATGACATTCCCCTTTGTTGTGTCACTGTGTACTCACTGTGCAGAAGGACCAGGGGAGAGGTGCAAGGGGCTACTGTGGCCTCACCTGCCCGGTCCTGCCTGCCTGCAGGCAAAGGGTACGTATAAGGTAACTAATAGCAAGTACCCAAATAATAGCATGTGAATAAGAATTAGATACAGAGATGTTTTAATTGTCAAAGAGAGCGATGTTCTTCTGTCCCCTGCAACAAGAAGCTTTTCTCCATGGTCACTATGGTCTTCACCTTGCATCATGAACGAGAGCTCTCCTGCTCCCCACCCCTTTGAATGCCTAGAAAATGTCCTTCCCTTTGCCTTTCACCAGAAAGCAGGAGCCCATTTGTCATCCTGCACTGCTTAAAAGAGTATTTGCAAAATGAATGGACTGGCACTGCTACCATTAGGAAGCCTGGGGAAGTTCAAAGTAAATCAAAGGTGATTTATACTTGGCCATCTACATGAAGAACAGCTTTGCTAACCTTACAGCTCCATTAAATAAAAGGATACGGTGCCCACATTCTCAACCTTCATCTCTGCATAAGAGCTAGGCATGCACCCAGCGCTCATCAAAAGAAGAGAAATATTGTTCATGTCATTTTTACAGATGGGAAACAGAGAGCACAGAGGTGAAGCAACTAACCCTCCCGCCAAAGCCACAAGCAGCGATAGAGCTGAGAAAAGAAGCAGTGCCTCCTGATTTCTAGTCTAACACATCCACGAGGCCACAATGCCTCATCCCCTCCTGGTTTGGCATGTTCCTGCCTCACCTTTTCTGGACATCCTCCCGGTTCATGCAACCGTCTTTAAAGTGAAACCATGAGCCTTCTCATCAGTCCTCTAGCTACTGGTGCCAAAGTCCATGTTTGAGCATAAAATTACATGCTGAACTTCGTATGTCGGATTTAAATAGCTGGGCAGAAGAGCTGAGCATCTTACAATTCCTACTGAAGGCCACAGGAGGAGTGCTCAGAAACTCTAAAATTTAGACCACTTTGCTTCACATCATCAAATACAGAGAGGCCAGGCACAGGCCTTGGAGCGTGAGGCTGCTGGCCTGCATCCTCTGTGGTATAAGTTCAAGGTCTAGTACAATGATTCCCAAAGGAAACAGTTTTATATCAGAAGACACAGTTTTGCCAACCCTAAAACCCTGATAGGAATGTGTCAGTCTTGATGACACTTTCTATGGGAAAGCATCAAGGGAATATTGTTTTGGCTTTCTCATTTCATTCTGATAATGTTAGAATACTGGATCTCAGAAAGGTAAAACATCTTATAGCGAGGTCATCGCTTCGATTCATTTCAATCTGAAGATTATATTATAGTGGAGTATGTATGTTGATAATATATTAATAGGGCATATTTAATATTTTCTGTTTATTTTGACATAATCTAAATGAACTATTTTGACATCAATTAAAATATGCCCTTTTATAGAACTGCATGGTTTTGTCATTTCCAAACCAAATTGTTTTCAGAGCTGACTTTCCATGGGAGGTTTTGTAATTTTGACTTTTTGTTTTGATTGGTCACAAAAACAAATCTTGAAACATCAGAATTTCCCCTGGAATGGGACAGCTATTTTCTGATCACCTCAAATTAGGACACAGGCACTATATTGTTACTTTTCCATTTCAACATATGCATTGTATAGGTTTCCTTCTGGGATCACACTACTGGATCCAATTTTTAACAAAGGCATATCTAGCAAAGGCAAATATCTATTTGCCAGACTTCCTCCTTCCCACATAAAATGCTTCCAACTAATCCACTGATTCTTGATGATAACCCTTTTATAAGCAACTTCTCATCATCTTTATTAAAAGGTGTCTCTACTGGAATAAGGCCCGTCTGGATGCTGATATTTTTCTGCCCCACAAAAGGCTGTTTGCTGGGCTTTGCTCAAAGAGCTGGACATACAAATGTCATTTTCTTTCAGCCACAGATTTAAGTGACTGTTACTGTTTAATAATTGATTATCACATATGATTTCCCTAGAACATATCCACCTGGTCCAAGAACAAATGCCAACATCTCACATAAACAAGCCAGAAAATGGCTGCTTCTGAAACAGAAAGATCCAGTGTGACTTAAGAAAGAGGGCCAGGCTTTCATATATCTGTATTCTGACTAAACCTGGCTATCATTGTAATAGGGCTGTTGCCCTGACAACATATAACACTTACTGCAGAAGGGAGCAGTTTATTGGCTACTTTAGTAAGCGATTATTTTGGTGTCACTAAATATGTTGATTTAGCCTGTGGGATACACAGTTACACCAGGCTGTGCTACAAGCGACAGGAAAACCCACCCCTTTGCAAAGAGATCTTGAAAATGGACTGGATCCAAGTCAGACAGGGTCTTTTACAAAACAGTGGCAAGTACTTGCAGCCTTATGCAAACACCACAGCAAGACTGCAGAGCAGATCGTTCAGAGCAAGCGCGAGGTGCAAAGAGACAGAGAGAAATACATCGAATTCTCAGTTAATGGACATCTCTGCCCGGGCACAGAAAGCTGTTAACCAACATAATTTATTGAGCAAAAGAAACAGGAATGCTACCATGTGCAAGAAACTAAATAAACATGTGTGCATGCTGCAGAAATCAAGAATAAGTAATAAAAAAAAAAATGGATGAAAGGTGCCAGTGCAGCCACGTTCAATGTTGGGATGCCAAATTCTTGACTTCATCAGGAACCACAATAAGAACATAAGAAGTACCCACGTAGCCCAGGGTCCTGTATCTCACAGTGGCAGAGGATGGGTGCTAAGGGGAAGAGTATTTATTCAGGGCCAATCCAGACTGATCTGTCCCCTGTTCCTGCAGTTTCCAGAAGAAAAATGATTCAAAAGAGATGCGATGCCCAAAGATACGTGACAAGACAAGATGCTTTCCCTAAAGCTTTAAAGGGTCTGATTGTGCTCTCCCTTTCCACTGGTTTGTTTATACCTGTGCATCATGAGTGCAAAAGTTAACCCTACTGAAGTGGCAGCATTTTCACACCCGCTTTATGCAGGTCCACAGAGGGTGCAAGGCGGTGGAGGGGGACTCAGAGACCCATTCCTCTGGCAGTTCAGGCTTGAAAGTCACACCTGCAGAGCAACCCCAATCACGCTTCCATGACTCTGATGCCTCATCACAGAGAGGATGTGGCAAATCCAGGAAAAGGTAATGCTGGGGGGAAGATGAAGCTGCGATCTAATATTAAAGCAAAGAATGGATAATACCAGGACTACATCAAGGGAGGAGATGATTACCGCCGTCTCTTTATGACTTTGTCAAGAGATTGGATTAGAATTAGTTGAAAAGTGTGATCAGGTCATTGTTTCTTGGGGATCGCCTCTGAGAAACCAGCAGTCACATTCTTTGCTGTTGTACACGCCAACAGAAGCTTTCTGCATGACATGGAAATGGGTTCTGCCATTGCTCAGTCAGGTAAAACCCTCAGGGACCAAATAAAAACTGGGCAAAGCCAGGGAGACATGTCACTGTTCTTAACAAATGAAATGCCTCTGGGCTTGCAGTTGCTTACACTGCTCTTTGCAACAATGACTGGCTTTGTTCTGTGTCTGACCAACCCAAACCTGGTTCAGGGGTGGGATGGGCAGCCACCACTGCAACGTAAGCAATACGTAGGTAGAGGAAAGTGCCCAGAAGGGTGTTAGCTACTTGGCAAGGAGGTCATGTTCTGGAGCTGGCTCTGAATGCCTCCCTTGGAAATGTTTTCTCTCTCTTCTCCCCTCACCAGAGGCATTTCTTGCACCTTCGCTCTTTCTGTTCATCACATCACTATTAGGGAGAGGCATTAAAAATACTGGGTTAGAAAAAGAGGGAGCTGTTACAGACAAGACTGAAACTTGTGAATCCCATATGGTGCTTCAGTGAAAACATGTCAGAAAGCATGCAGGCTTATTTGCTCTCAGAAATCAGCTGTGATGAAATGACCCTGACACAGCAGCTGGGACAATTTTACAGACGGACTTGGGAAAATGAGAGGGGAAGGAAGGGGGAATAAGCCAAACAGCTCTTCTTCATCCACTTGCAAATCTACCACCATAATCGGCTTGGAGATTAGCTGGCTACATCTCAGCACAAGTTTACTCAAAAACTGGATGCTTCCAAAAGGAGCAGCAAATATGCAGATGCATCTGGTAGCTGAATGGCCAGACTCAGTGGTTAACCCCATCAGCTGCAGAAAATCAGTCACTTTTCTAGACAGGACAGATCATCTGCAGCAGCAGCAAGTAGAGCCATCAGAGCAAATGTCTTTAAAACAAACACAACAGCCTTTCTCTGGCAGGAGGTAACATTTGGAGGATGACTAAATCATGAAGAAAGCCACAGAGCAAACATGCTATGGATAAAGCTCTACTCTGCTTCAGTTTTTGAGTACCTTTCTCAGAAATATGTCTTTGACTCTCAGATATTAGAGACAGGCTTGATGCAGTGAACTGTACATCCAACTCTAAACTCCCCCTCCCCCTCAAATTTAAGGAGGTTTAAATCAGGTGTTTCAGTGTCAGCACTGTGGGAACTAGTCCTATCTATGACTGTTTATCCCAAGCAAGGATTTAAGGAGTTCCCACATGATAACATTATGGAGTGTGAATTTGGCTAGAAATTGTGAGAGCTGGAGAGAAGTACAGCAACCTCTGTGTGTTCAGAAGGATCTCATTGACATTCATTACCACCCATACCATCTATCCACCCCAAAGGACCCTAAAAACGGCTTATACAAAACCAACGGCTGATATTTTCAACCTATGTGTAGCATATGGAGGTAGAGGGTGGGTAAGGAAGAAGGTGGCTAGGGACACTGAACTTAGATACAAAGGAGAGAATGAAAAGCCCTCAACCTGAGTCAATAAGCATTAACAAAAAGTAATGGGTAAAAACAGGAACAGAAGAAGGCCATTGTGAAATGCAAGGTCTCAATGATCACGAAAAGTAATCTGTGTGTAAGGAGGAACCAACCTTCAACAACATTTAGGGCATAAACAGGCTTCCTCTGAGCACCAGGCATGCATGTCCACTTGATCTACTTATTTTCCTCTTGAACAACCTTACTGAGTGTGCCTAACGCTAGGGAAAACCCTCACTTATCGTTCCTGACTGGGCTTGCTGCTGCTTTCCCTTACTGTCCCCTAGTATTGATTCGTGAGAAAGCTGTTATGGCTTTTTGCCTTTGAAGTAAAATGCATACCAAGTTATGCTCCAGGACCAATGGGGAAAGTTAAGGATTGTGGACAATGATCCAAAGGACTGCGACCCACACTGGACTCTTCCCACGAGAAAGCAGATTGAAACTCCCTAAGAAACACGGTCTTTCCAAATGCCCAACCCCTACTTCTCTCTGGGAGCGGTACAAAAGACTGATTCCTTGGTTTGCTTGTTGAACGGAAATATAAAAATATACATATATTTGAAATGTTTGAAAGCACTTGAAATGTCAACTTGAAACAAACTGTTGTTGTTGTTTTCTGGCGAAGTGAATAACCAAAAAAGAAGGAAAAAAAGGTATTTCAAGTTCAAGAAAAAGGTTAGTTTCATTTGGGTTTTTACCCATTCATGTAAGTAAATTTGGCTAAGTTCAGAATGGCACCTAGTTTCACTTAATAAAAATCAGCATGCTTAGTTCTAAAAAATGTCTAACTGAACAGGTTTTGTTTTCAATTTTTTTTCTGTTTTTCTCCAGTCAAGACATTTGATGAATTTGGAACATATTTGCAAATAGATTCAGCTATCCCTATTCTGCATTTTTGGTGGATGAAATACTTGATTAGGAAATGTTGCCCAGCTCTCCATAATACATATCCTATAGGTTCCTCACACAGAACACACTTTTTAATGTTTTTCTTGTTCAATAAATATAAATTACCTGTTTGTCAAAGTAAGCCCCCATCCCAGAACTAGTTGCTGCTAGCCTTGAAATCAAAATAGAGAAAGATATGACAGACCAAGAACAACAGATTTTGTAGATAGTTCCTATTAGTTGCTGATTGTAAGTCCTAGTTGTACATTACTGACAGTCAGTGTCACAATGCGACAAATCACATTTTGCTTCCTGAGCTGAAGCCTACATTTTGGCAGCTACAGGAGATAGTTTTAATAATCTTGTCAACACTGTAACTGTGTTAGGAATTGCAAAATGGTAGAAACCAATTCCCTTTCCCTCCTGGTTTACTTCAGGGAACACTGGAAGAAAATGATTAAGGAATTTGAAAACAGGTGGGAACAAATCCCCTAAAACCAACAGTAACTTTTGAGGGAATGAACAAGACACTTTTTTTTTTATAAATCACTGTTTTTTTGCTGTTCTTGTCATCATATCTCCCTTTGGTCTAATCTAGCCATCCAGCCAGTCTGCTTGTCTCTCCAAAACTGTGGAACAAGGCTACTTGTACGTCTGATGTTTAATCACACAAAATGTCATTATAGCTGTGCAAGAAAAAGCCAGGAAAAACCAAGTAAAGCAATTTTCTAGCCCCCCCCCGGTCCCCTGAAAAGACAAAAGGGCTAGCACGAATGGTTAGCAAGAAGTGCATTGTGCCATAAGGGAAGTCACTAGTGGTTTCTGTAAGAGGAGAGGACAGAATTGTATGCAGCAACGTCCTTGTGATCAGAAGGTTAGGGATGAGATTCAACACGAATCTCACTGACACTCATTACTGCCGACTCTTCTTGACCCTCTGGGATGCTAGAACCCCCTTTACAAAACCAACAGCTAGCGTCTTCAGTGGTACAACACATCACGTAGGTCAGGGGTAGGCAACGTTTTTTGGCTGGAGAGCCGAAAAAACCACAACGTCTACTTTGGAAGGTGCTGGAGTGCCGACATGCCGGAGCCCGGAGCAGCTGTTTGCAGCCTCCCGGTGCTAACTTAGTGCTAGTTGCCTCTGCTTGTTTCTCCTCTGATGATCATGGGAAGGAACTTAGTTTAGCTGTGCCAGATGGAGGAGGATGCAGAACGTACAGGGCAAAGGATGGAGGTGGGGCAAGTCAATGAATTAGCGCTCAGTGTCACGCACCGCTCAGCTTCAAAACTGTTTCCTTGATACACACAGACATACAATAGTTGATGCCATACAAGTCTTGTCACCTCCCTGTGCCTCGGTGTACCAGCCCAAAATGGTTGTAATCTTACAGTAATTGCCTCACAGACATATTACAAGTGAGTGAAGTGCTTTGAAGTTCTTGGATGAACTGTAGCTAGGTAGGTGTTCAGTGTCACACACCCCATTACAGGGAGTCCTTCCTAACGACCTCTCACTGGACATTTTTCATTGACAGAATGGACAACCCTGAATGGAGGATATAAGCTGAAGCCATTACTGTGACTTTCTGGCTAATCCCCACCACACAGTTATCAAAAGTGACTGCCTATTATTCACCATCTGGGCCATCACAGCTAACATTTAGCTCTTGTTTTGTGCTGCCTCCTTAACCCTGGTTCTTCTTTTGTCCATATACAAGCCTATTCCGGTATAACAGGGCTCCAGAAAAAAATAAAACCGTCTCCCCAGACAGAATCTGCTAAGGTTTAAATTTTCATTTCCTTAGAATAATTTGTGATCATTTGCATATCAAATCAGCAGGGCTTTGCAGAAGCATTAGCAGCCAACAATTCCTACTTCTCTAGAGACAGTCTCATCACTTACCACCAGATCTGTCTTGCTTTTGTAGGCCCTCCGCAGAGTGAATTTTAATTTGAGTAACCCTGCGAGGGTAACCACATAAGAGGCTCCAGCATGTCCATGTAGGCTTATCTGACTTCAGCTCTCTGAAAGAACAAGGTTATGCCATTTAGATAGGGGTAAAAGCTTTGGTGTTGAAAGCAAAATAGCAGAATGGTGAATGTTGGCCTTTTCAAAACATCTACATTTGCTGTTCTTTTCCTGTATGTCACCTGGGGTGGTTTGTGTTTACAGGAATAACACAGACTTACATGAACATGAACAGAAAAAGTTATAGCATGTCTTGCATGGCAGTTGCATGTGGAAAACAAATTTTCAAGCCATCAAAAATAATATCAAAGCGAAACAAAGATATAATGGGCCTAGGTTTATTTATACACTGGTTTATTTCAACGGAGTTATTCCAGATCTATGCTGAGGTAAATGACAGAAGAGCCAAATCCAACTACTCTAGAAGGCTTGGTCTAGTTGACTTTGGGGAAGCGTGTGGTTTGGCCTAAGAGAGTGGTAATGGGGTTGGGCTCTTTCCATCTCAAGATCCCCACATTCAAAGCCACTTGGTTAGTAATTATGCTGTTGGATGGCTTATCAGTGGGAAATAAATCTGGTGATCTGTTGTGCCTCAAGTTAAACACAAGTCATCACCAGCATATATTACCACTCATCTTAAAAATGTCACAGTAAAGCGGTTGTTGGTTGTAGAGAGGTCAAAGATAGAATGGGCCATGGAAATACTTAATTTGTCAACCCTGGCATTGAGGTGGTCTCCTCAAGACCAGGACATTGTGGAGGAAGCTGTCTCCACTTTGCTTCGTGAAATATACCTATCTTGAGACTGGTTTAAGGGCTCCTACTTATTACGGAGACCTCATCACATTCTCCTGGTTTGCAGATGGAAATATTTGTGTGTACAACTGACATCATTGGCATATCCATTGTTCTAAGTTGTGGGAACAAGCTGTCAGATCAGGAAATGATATTGACTGCTACCCCCAGCAATATTAGGACCCCAAAACTGTACCTTTACAATAGGAGGACTGAGCAGGGAATTATCATGGCCAATCTTGGCTGCCTGCTCTTTGGTACCTAAATAATAGTGGTCTGATTTCCAGAGGTGGTGAGTATCCACAACTCCTAGTGAAGCAAAAGGGGATGAGATCATTGAAAATCCCAGAAGGCTAATTTTGATCAAGTTGTCAAGACGAATCACATATCTGCCTTACAGGCAAGTGGTATATTGAGGGTAACCACTTCTGTGAGGTAGAACAGGAGGAAGTGGATGAAGGGTCCATGTTGTATAAAATACAAGGTACCTAAGTTTTGATGGTTCATCTGTAAAGAGCCTCAAAATGAACTGAGAAACAACACCAGGAAGGAACGTCGTTGGAATGAGGACATAGCGGCCTTTCTGAAGGAGCTTCTTTAGGAACACAGTGCGTGTGTTGACGTATGTGGATGTTGCCACTCTCTCTTGTATTGTCAGTGTGTGGATTCGGTATTCTCTGTTGTCCTCCACCTATAATCACACAGAATGAGAGGCATGGGATGCTTGTTTTGAATGCACGCTCTTTAGTATGCTGCTTGGTCCTGGTTTCTGGTGATAAGTGACATGACATGACATGAAATCATAAAAAAGGAAAATCAGTTTTTGGAGCTGGTTAAAGATTCTAAGGTAGGATGGTTCAGACAACCATTACCAAATGGACAGACCACATTTTCAAAAGACTAAAGTTAAAATATATGGCATAAATTTAGAGCATGTCTCACAGTCCATTGCAAGGAGCATCTTATACCCATAATAGAGATGGAGAAAATGAAGCACAGTCAGGAAAAAGTGACTTGGCCCAGGTCACACAACAAGGGAGTAGCAGCAAGCTAGCCACCCAGTCCTGTGCTCTGAATCCAGTGCCTCCAAAATAATGTGTAGGG